AAAAGGCACAAATGTAGTACACATATTAAATGTAAATTCATTAGAACGTGTATAGTCCAATCATATCGTACAGACGCTTTATAGATGAATCTAGGCTTTTCAAGTAATAGTGAACGAATCTAGGCTTTTCAGACAATGAAAATAGACTTTTCAGTTACAAGGACAGCAGCGATTTATCACTTCACTAACATAGTACTGGCATTCAAGGAAGCACAACTCCACTCCATCTCCACCATCCATCTTATAACTGTTTGATCCAAGGGCTGAGGTGAAGAGGCACACGGATCACTGACATGGCACATTGAGAGGCCTCCATTCCTCCTCTCAACCTATAAATAACCCCTCACTCCCTCTCATTCACACACACAACAAGGAAGAAGAGCACTCCTCAGTATTTTCTTTCATTGTAGTACCAATGTCTGGAGGGTCGTCCAAAGATAGAGGAAAGGGGAAGGGAACTACCATTGTGTGGGAGGGTTCTCTTGGTCCCGATTTCTTTGAGGAAGCTCTTTATGAGAGGTTCCTAGTTGAGAGCAAAAACGATTTCACCAAAGAGGCACCACTAAGAGGATACAATGAACAAAAAGAAGAGTGACCAAAATGTATGCATGGTGAGGACTACCTAGTGCAGATATTCACCGAGGGAATAGATGGAGGTCGTCATTTCTTCAAATGCCCGCGAGCATGGGTAATTGCTATTACTATTTATTTCTTCAATATGTTTCTCTACTATATAACTTATATGACATGCTTATTGTAGTCTTCCTTGGCCAAAGAAAACTATGGGTTCACTAGGTGGGTCGATCCTTGACCTATTTATCCGCATGTAGAGTACATCTACTACTTGCAGGACCGTATCTTCGATCTAGAAAGGGAAGTTAGCAGCGGTTACAAGGACGACGGATAGGATGACAACAACAATGGTGCCGATTCACAGGAGACACTCTGCAATTATCCATATTGCACCTGCCCTAACCACAAGAATAAGGGGCCTCTCCGTCACCCCCACCACCACCACCACCAACAATGGGAGGCTACTGTGGAGAAGGTGCAACATAATTTGCTATGTGGCCACACTACTAGGATGACTTTATCTTATTCATATGCCACATCTATGTGTTTGTTGTTTGGTTTAATTACCTAAGGCATGTTAGGTTTAGTCGAAGAAACTCTGTACCCTAGTTCGATACATGTTCTCACATGCCATTTCATGTGTTTTGTGTGTTGAATTATATAATGCCCTACTTCATTAGGTTTTATTTGCAGCACGTGATCACATTTCAATACGTCCGTAATATTAAGCTGAATATTATGACCACAAATAATGAAAACAACCACATAATGAAAAGTCTAATACTATGCCATATTAAACAACATAATAATACTAGAAGTATGTGCCGACACTAGACATAGGGGGCAAATGCACTTTCAAATCCTCGGTCTGAAACATACTGAGTAAACAACTCATCATCCGAGTACCAGTCCTCTACCACAACCCTATTGCTGTGGCTAGGCTCGCCTGCATTGCTCTAACCTGCCTGTCACTTGTAGTAAGCGGCCTTCACTTCATCTGCGGCCTTAGCGGCCTGAGTGAAGAATGTGTTGTCATCCTCCTCCGCCTGCAAGCCCGCCTCTACTAGAGCGATGAGCTCGCTCAGTCTGCCAGTGTCATCCTCAGCCTCCTCCGCCTGCAAGCCTGCCTCTGCTAGAGCAATGAGCTCGCTCAGTCTGCTAGTGTCGTCCTTAGCCTCCTCTGCCTGCAAGCCCGCCTCTGCTAGAGCGATGAGCTCACTCAGTCTGCTAGTGTCGTCCTCATCCTCATCCTCCTCATCAGACAACACAATCGGTGATTGAATGGTGCGACCAGCTCATGATCTGTGCTCATCTAACTTCTTTTCCTCATACCTTGCATGAGCCACCTCTGCGGCATGTTCCTCGCTGCATCCAATCTCTTCATGTATAAAATACAATCAGTTAGCAACGCGATTATATTACATTTAAAATCAGACAACGAAAAAAGGATTTCAAGCACTCACTGCACATAATGCAACAACATGCTCATTCAAGACCTGCATCTGTGCTCTTGTCTCCTCCCTTGCCTCCTTCATTGCCCTCTCCTCCTCTAACATCATCTGTCTCTTCAATCCCTATTTGTCAAGCTCCAACATCGATCGGGTTACAAATACCACGCTGTCTAGCAAACTCACGTATCTTTTCTTTGTGATATTTAACGAATAGGTTGACGTAGTCAGGTCCATATCCCCTCTTCCGTGTAATTATTTGCCTCCCCTTCAGTTCATCCAAGAACTTAGCTTGACCATCATAACATTCCCACCTGCATTCCACGCCTTGGCATCATCCTATGGTTGTATAATACAAATATTGAGGAATAGAATAAAACCCTAAGTAATGACGATTCTTAGATTAAAAATCCGACTAATATATACCGAATCGATGTGAAAAAAACTAGGAGGGGAGCGAGGATACCTTGCTCTCGAAGATCTACAGATCAAATCAAAGTTTTCAAGGTCCAATATGCCGATTTGTGAGGTAGGGCGAAGTGAGAGAGAAAAAACCCGAGAGGGAGGAGAAAGAAGAGAAAGAAGGCTCGGGCAGAAAGGTTGGGGCCGGGGTTAAAACACCACCTCGGTGCCGAGATCTACGGCGCCGAGCTCGGCGCCAGGGTTATTGATGGCGAGCTGCCTACCATGTCACCGCCACGTTTGCTTCGAGCCCAAGATCTCGGCGCCAGGGACGCTGGCGCCGAAACATGTAAGCTCGGCGCCAGCAACGATGGTGCCGAGATAAGAGTCTAGATTTTGAAATCTTTCCTCCAGAGGTATATTTATGATTTTTTTTAAAAAAAGACTAAAAATAAAAAATTCGGACGAGGAGGGCGGAGGCAGTGAGCTGGCGACCAATCCCGGCAGACTAGTCTGCTCCTTGCTGGACCTCGTGGAAACGAAAACCGAAGTTCACCTCGGATTGGGATAGGCATGGACTGGGCTTTAATGGGCTGGGCCCAAGCGGAACCTGGGAAAAGTAATTAGAAAAATATTAATTAGTTGGATGGATGCTTTGATATTCGCGTAGTTTTTAGAAAGATGAGTATTAGAGCACTTTTACACAATACTCGTAGCTGAACAGATAGAAGAGGCTGTCACCTTCTGGGGTAGAATTAGAAAAGAGCTCAGGCTTTATGGGCTGGAATCTGTCCTTTTTGTCGCTCCATTAGTTTGACAGGTTAGATTGACCAATGAAATTAACATAAGGGAAGGTCGATCACTAATTATAGACGTGTTATACCAAGCTCGATACATATATGGATAACTAGCTTGACAAATTTTCAATGTTTCAAAGAAATGCGAATTTAAAAAATGAATCTTTTAATTTTAAATTTTTAATCATATGAATGCCCCTATATTTGTTACTTCCTATGTGAGGATTTTTTGAGTTAAATATAGGTGTAGAATTTTGGAATTTGTATTCCCCTCCTCAGTCTATATGCTGTAAAGCGTTGAGGTGGAAGCCCACCGTCATCAAATTTGAAGATTAGAAGTTTTATTTTTTTAGATATGCAAATTTTTAGTTTCAAGTCTTCCATTTTTATCCACGAGTTTCTTGAGCTAAGAGCAAAGTTAAAATTGGGTGAAGGCTGCCTAATACAAAACCTTCAATATGCTCGTTTATAGGAAATTTAATTGAATTGTAGGTGATATATATCTACTATATTTAAATAGGAGAACCCCACTAACCTATTTTCCTACGATTTCGTGAAACCACGTCATCCAAGGCATCCCACCACCACAAGTCCTCATGCAACAGCCGAAGTGTTGTAAGTTTGATTGATCAGTTACCTCTCGTGGACTGTAGGTCGCTTAAAAATAATGCTAGTAGTGGCATTAGATATGCTAGTGAAGCACCAAACAGAGGTCACTTAAAAATATCGCTGGTAGTGGCATTAGATGCGTTAGTAAAACGTCAAGCCATAAGAAGTCGCATCGCCTGGTTCCGTTTTATTTCTGCCCTGTCACATCCCTTCCGTACCATGCTCTTCTTCCATTCAACCACTACAACATGTCTCTTAATATAAGATATTTTGTTAAAGGCATTTCTTCAAAGTGCCTTAATTTCTTGTTGCATAAAGGCATTTATCTCAAAAGGCCTCTAAAAATCATATTTTAAAGGCAAAATTAAAAAAACGCCTTAATTACATGTGGCAATTGAAGGCGTTTTGTCAAAAGTGCCTTAGTAACCTGAAACTAGGGGTGAAAATGGTACGGATATTTTCCGACCGTATTTGAGATCGAATCCGTTTAAAGGGGTTCAAATCTGTCCGTATCCGAATCCGGATATTCAACATCTGATATTGTATCCGTATCCAAATACTCAAATTGTATATTTATGATGTCGATACCCAATCGTATCCTATCCGGCCTGGCTGACACTACCCGTATTTAGATCCAAATCTAAACAGAAATATAAAAATAAATATAATATCAGTAATATCCGTCCGTATGCTGTCCGTTTTCATCCGTGCCTGCAACTATTTGAGGCATTCTTCCAAAAACGCCTTTAAAACTCACGGCAGATTTCCGCGCATGCGCCAAGGCCTGGCGCGCTGGAGCGTGGCCTCCACTGATTTGCAAAAAAGTCCTCCATGTTTGATAAAATAAACCCGCAGTCCATCCAAGAAAGATCGCATAGTATATACGCGTTCAAAAATAGGACCTTGGTCTGTACTCTATTTCAACGTGAAGAAGAAAAAAAATAAGCAACCTTGTCATTTTTCAGAAAACTCCCCAAACGTGAATTTGCGGAGCTCCTCCCGACCCCGACCCCCGACTCCTCTCATTCGTCTCCTCCTCCTCCTCCTCCTCCTCTCTCTCTCTCTCTCTCTCTCTCTCTCCCTCCCGCCGCCACGGCCGCCGCCGCCCTTCACGTCCCCGCTGCCAACCCACGCTGCAGCTCACCGCACATGTTTCCCACGCCGCCGTCGCTCAGTCGTGGGGAGCCGCGCGAGGTCGGTGGCATTCGGCGGCGCAACGGCGTGGGGAGTCACGCGTCGCCCTTGCGGAGATAGGTCGGAACTCGCTGGCCTCCTTGGCACTCAGCCTCGTCGCCCACGACACGACACCCTCATAAGCAGGCAGCCGGGCTCCCAATTTGTGATGGGAAGCGGCTGCTCGCCTTCCCCCAGATCCGGCCGACACCTTCTCCGTCAGATCCGGCACGGTGGTGAGGACGGCTGCTTCCTTGCCCACGGGGAAGTTTTGTACCGCGTTCGTCTCGAACTCTTCGGCCAGGTACGCATTACATGTTGGGTGCCCCCGGTCCATCCATCCATCCCTCTTCACCCCGATCTACAAGTTCATGTGATTGTGTCTACATACTACTATACATTTCTAAATGTTTTGGCATGTTTGTTATTCAGATTCAATAGTACCATGATGCTATCATCTTAATTTTTATTTTTGTTCTTGAGTGTAGAGCTGTGTTCTAAATTTGGTCTTTGTTGACACATTTATGTACCTTGTGTATGTCGACATTCCAATTGAATGGAAGGGCAAATTAATCAGATGTGCTACTCAATCTGTGTAGTTATTTACTCTTACATGCCAGCTGCTGCATGATCCATACTTTAAGCATGTAGCCTTTTTTTGCTAAATGACTTCCTCAATTAGATTATAAATTTATATTTTGGGTTGAGTTTTTCAGTTGTACCTCTGGTGGCTTGCCGAGCACTGGACATCGTCCACATTGATGAGCTGCGTGTCTTCCTATATGCCGATAGTAAGATGCTGTTGTTGGCAGCAATAACGTGACGTCGTGGATGCTTGACCATGCGGCAAGGCTGCCCCGGCAACTCATTGCTGAGAAGGATGGTGTCTGCCTTGTCGAGATCCACAAGCTTATGATTATCTTGTGATAACCAGATCTCCTGGGTATTTAAATTGGATAGTTCTTTATGCTTTTGAGAAATATCTTGGCCTCATTGAACTATTTGGGATTTTTAAAATGCAGTGATAGTGGGTGGACAAATAGCTGATCTGCATAATCCTCTTATAGGTGCTCTTTTTTCTCAGATTTTTTTGTTTTGCCATGTCTTTCTTCTCTATGTTCTGATTTTTCTCAGTTTTTTTTTCCATGTTTTCCTGTGTTGTTCGTTTTCAAGACCAAAGAGCAGATGGAGATGAAGATGATGCTGCAGCAGATGGCGTGCAAGCAGAGGGTCTTTCAAATGGTGATTTTCAGTTTCCTGTAATAATCCTCCTACTGTGAATGATCTTTTTTTTTTTGTTCCATGTCATGGGTGATATAGATGGAAGAACAGAAGGAGTGCAAGCACATGCTGCGATGGCCTGCAAGGTGCAGCAACAGATGGAGGTTGGTTTCATTCCACATATGCCTCTGTTTAGGTTCAGAGTAGACAGTTCAATCCATTGTATTACGATCAATAGTAAGCATATGTTAGCTAGAATCCAGTTTCAGTTCTGTCCATTGCATGGCTTCAGGTTTCAGATTTCAGTGTATTGTCAGGTAGCATTCAGGTTTCTGTGAACTTGGTAGTCTTCAGGTTTCAGTTAACTGTGAACTTTTGGTAGTCTTCAGGTGCTTCAGTTAACTGTGCATTCTATTATTCAGCCTGGATTGTCTGTTGGTAGTCTTCAGGCTTCAGTTAACTGTGCAGATTGAACAACATGTTTGTTGCACGTACACATCATCGTCGTTGTCCTGGCTATCCATCACATGCACCAGCGTGGCAGCGTGGCGTGGCGACTCGGCGGCGCAGCGGCGTGGAGCTAATCGGCTGCACGGCGGCATGGTGCAGTGGCGCGGCACGGTGGTGAGCTGCATTAGCTGGACACTTGCTGTACGATATTTGGAGATGAAAACTTAATGTCAATAAAGTTCGGATGCATGCAATGTTAATGTGTGCTCAAATTGTTAATGTGCTAATTTGACATTGGTAGAAAGTCTTGCATGGATACCTTGGTTTTGGAGGCATTTCTAATAACGCCTCCATCAATATTGAAAGGCATTCTGAAAAAAAGCCTCAAAGGACCTTTTACTTCCATGTTATAGGCGGCATTCTAAAAAATGCCTAAAAAGATTTTTGAAGGCATTTTGATGACTTTTAAAGGCATTTTTAAACGCCTTCTATAAACAGCCATGCTGTAGTGAACAATATATAATTCTGCCTCCGGACATAGAACAAGCTGAGAGATGATACTTAAGGGTTGTGCTTCATGTGATCCTGTCCTTCCTGTGTGCTCGAGGGCCCCAAAGCATGGCAGATCAAGCAACAAGCATGAACAGTCCTTGCGCCCAGGAGCTGAGGTGTGCTGGGCACACAGGTAGAGACACCCAGGAGATGGCTTCGCCGGACCATGGAGCCTTGCAGCCCACGCCGCACCGCGTCACCAGCACCAAAAGAGGAGAGCTGTCACCCTGCGTTGCCGCTGTTGTCTGCCCTCACCAGCCGCGCACGCTGCAGCCCCAGCGGACACCGCTTCTCACAATTATCACCGTCAAATCAGACGTGCACCATGTGCGTTCTGAAGCCAGCGAGGGGAAGAGGGGATGGACGCACGCACTGAAGCCTGAAGACACAGGCGGAGGGGGACTGATGAAGCCAAAAAGAACATGCATGACAGCGTGAGACAGGAAAGGTGAGAGATGCTGAGTTTCTATGAAAATATTTTTTTAAATGGTCCAGCGTGCATATGGAAACCACGTGATGATTTATGGGCTCAGACTGTCCTGAGATTGCATGTCAACATATCAGTGAATGATTGAGCGTTAACCAAATCAAATTATCTTACGTTTTCTTCATTTTATCGTCGTTAAGATTTTCTACATGCTTTTCTAATGCGCATAATCTTTGTTTTTTTTTTCGAAAGATCGCGCATAATCTTTGTAGAATGATTGGGTACTAATGAATCTACATTTATATTGATTGTTTCCAATTATTTTTCAATGAATACGCATATCTTTCCAAAAATTTTATTGCATATCCCGCAGCAACACGCGGAGTATTATCTAGTAATATATATGGCACAGGACGGAGAAATAGAAATGGATCGGAAGTTAGTAGTGGAGGTGAAATTATTCTTTTTATGATAAGCGGCGTTGGAATTTGGATGCCAACAGACAACAAATAGATGCGGAAATTATCAGGTTGTGCCAAGCCTTTATGGCACATGACATGTACAGTGGTTTACATAAGAATAACTTCAGTACATAACGTTCGTATTAGGCAGCAAGGAAAATGGATATATAGGTTATTATTTATTAGTTGACTACTTTATGTCTGTTTTCTCTGTCTCTCTCTTTTAGGTACCGTAGCCGCTGGAATGAGAAGGGAATTGTTGATTACATGTTTTGTTTGGTTCGGCCGTGGTAACAGGATGGGCGGGAGTGGAATGGTTTGCCGATCAATTCGGATGTAATCGCCTTACTGAAGCATGGGATCGATTACCCTGCTGCCGAATCCTATTGGTGGTGAAACAAACATTGTGATCGATTCATGTCCATAAATGATTGAACCACAAACAGCACCTAAGGTATGCAGCAGCACCTAAGGGAGTAGAATTAGTTGGTGGAATGAGAACATGGGAATGCAATGCTATGCAGCAGGCTGGGCACAGTAAGATATGAAGAGATCTCTAGCTATAGGGTGCACTTGCACTATGGATGATCCGTAAAGCTGTGGGCCGGGGTACTCAAGACTGAGCTTTAGCAACAACGGCCACGGCCAGTGTCCAAACGAAATACAAAACGTGAGCAAAAGAGCCAATCATGCATCGAACTGCATCGGTTCTCTTTTAGTGAGGTCATGTCATTTTCGACTTCACAGGAAAAGCATAAAAACAAAATAAAGCAACAATTTATTAGAAATTTGGCAATTGAAGAAAATAGAAGTATGTTGTAGCCTATGCAAAGCATAAGATTTACATTGTGCTAGATATTGATTTGCACAAGAGTGTTTTGGTGTATGTAAAATCTTATTTATTTCTAGTTAACAACTCTCGAGCCAGAGAAATTAGTGGCGAAGCTAGTCTACGGAGTGCATGCATGGTGAAATTTTGATCCAAATAGCTGCTTTCATATTTTAGCATGCGTGCATCATGTCCAGTAAGACCAGTCTCAGTAAGAAGTCTCATGGCGTTGTTTCTAAGGCTGCCATGTCATATAGAATGAAATGAAACTTGAATGAAACACCCACTCTCAATAAGAGAGAATGACACAAAGGAAACTTTCCATACGGTTCAACTTATTGGTAAAATTCCTCCAAAATTACTATAAAACAAGTGTCATTCCAAAGGAATTTCATAGGATTTGTAGCAATCCAATCTTTTGTTCCAAAAGGGTTCATAGGAAAATTTCCTATAGGATTTCAATTCTCTAGAATTCCTCCACTTTTTCTCCTTTAGGGTTATTAAAAGAATCATATATATGTTCAAACGTAATACATTGATCTGACTTCACCCTCGACTCCCTTCTACATTATTCTTTCTGTGAGATCGTGTGATGAAAAATTGGTTTCATATGAAATTGGCACTGCAAAGTGATTTGAATTATGGCATAGTTTGATATGCATGTGATGCTTATATATGCTTGCGAAAGCATGGTGATTTGGTATTGTTGCATGACATGCTCGTGTGAGATGTTGTGCGGATTGACTTGAGTCAAGTCGTGGACTTGGGCTCGTACGCGATTGTGTGTTTGTTCATGTGCAGGTGTTGCTTTAGGCGGAACGTGGTCGATGACGGACTGTAACTAGATTCAGGGAGGAAACTGAGGTTTCGGGACTAAGTTCAGGGAGGAACTGAGGTCATATCGGTCAAGGATGTCATGTGGGATGTTCGGGCTAAAAGAATAGTGTACGTGAAGAGATCACTCCGTGAGACATACGCGGGAGATGTGCGGGCTACGGTGTGATGATGATTGGTGGTCGTGACACGTGTAACACGAGGGATGTGTGTGGATACGTTAACGACGACAGTTGAGATGTGGCACGTGGTGACGTGCAGAGATGGTTCGAGCCTGCGTGATGCAAATCAAGAGGGAGACGGTTGTGCATGTGTGCAAGCTGGTTTGGTGCAAAGTCCAATCGGGCTTGGTCCTAGAAGTGCATATGCGTGAGGCAGTGCATGCACGGTGGGGATTGGCCAGGAGGTTGCTGGCTGTTTTGTACGTGGCTATGCATGTGTCAAGGAAACGGACTTAGCTTTGTCAAGTGCCGATACGTGCGTGATCGAGATGCAGGAGCCGGGTTTGGCTTGGTCAAGTGCCCTTTAGAACGAGAGGAGGCGAGCGTTCGTTTGACCAGGATGTGGTTAGGCGCTTATTGAGGTGACACACGATGCATGCTTGTGTTTGTGCTTGTGCGTGATGGTCAATAGTCCAGGCAGGCTCGGGAGATAAAAGAAACCGGAGTTCGACCGAGAGCCGCGTGTGCCGCGTGTGCGACGGAAGAACAGAAGAGAGGCAGCGCTGGAAAGGTTTCGGCGGCTGTTTTAGGGCCTAGGGATTTTGTGAAGAATCCTTTTGTGGATGCTAGTGTGATGCATCTTGTAAACATCTTAGAGTAATAAAGATCAAGGTTTGATAATTGACTAGCTGGTAATCTCGTTCCTTCGCTCCGAGCTTTGCTCATGTTTTGTATGTCGAGCTTTTAGTTTTAGATCGATTTCTTATTCTCAAGAATAGATTTGTTTTGATCCATCTAAAACTGTGCTAGGAAATCAAGCCATTGATCTGAGAAGTTTCACTGATTAATATTTTAATGATTTTGCATAATCACTAAATTAGGGCTTGATCAATTCTCGTCGCCATCTGACACAGACACCTTGTTTATTTTATAT